GCCGTCATTGTTGTTTGGCGGGTCCGGGCTGGGGATTCGAACCCGCCACCTTAGGTGTACGTGGCTGGAGCCTTAGCCAGTTGAGCTATAGGCGCCAAGCCAGCACAGTGTTTTTCAACCTGTTTTATCTCATAGCACACTTGAACGTACAGTTAAACTTCCCAGGCACATTTATAAAAAAAAAAAAAAAAAAAAAAGAGTAAAAAAAAAGCATACATGTACTTACTGTGCTTTGAACTTCTTTCAAAAATAATTTAATTAGTGGTCTTTAAAAATTTTTGCAGTGCACCTAATGTCCTCTCAAGGCATAACAGTGCGCTGTGGCACACTGATTGAAAATCACTGCCCTTGGAAGTCTCATAAGTACAGTAATGATGTGATGTGCAGGTGTTAAGATAGCATATGGGAAGGAAATCAGTAAATGGAGAGGGAAGATTTCCCTCAGGAGGTTGACTGAGCTGAGTCTCAGTTGAATTGGTGTCGTGTGGAGGAGGGCTGAGGGTTGGAGAGTAGTCCAGTCGAGTGAATGAGTCCATCCCAAGGAGCAGTGTTTCATAGATATTTCCTAGTTCCTCAGGCACCTGTGAGTAATTCAGCATTGCTGGAGTGGCAGGTCATGAGGGTAGAATGAAGTCAGTGGGATAGATTTTGATTAAGTTTGTGATAGGGAACTTGGACATTTGGGTTATAGTTGATGAGCTATTGGAGGTTTTGGTGATGAGAGGTTTAAAGAGATTTTTTTTTTTTTAAAGAGATTTTTCTATAGAAAGATTGCTCTTGGCATTTTTGTTTGTGTGTAGAGGACAGAAACTAGAGGTAGGGTGATGAGGTAGGAGGTTGTGTAGGAATCTAGGTGAGAAAGGAATGAGGTAGGTGTGGGGCTAGAAAAGGGAATAGATTCAGGAAAAACTTGATTCTTGAGATGGGAGTACATTTTTTTGGAATTATCTGAGAAACTTCATTAGAATATATGTACATGGTTCCCCTCCTACCCTGGGCCTATTTAGAGAGAAATAAATAGACTTTGGTGTATAAAGTAGAAGAAAGAATTTAGTGGGACCCCAGCCAGGTGATGGGAATAAAGATGCTAGTAACAGAGAAGGCAGTTGGGGAAGTGCTGGTTTATAAGGGGTAAAAAACCTGGTGAGTTCTATTTTGGATTTGTTGACTTGCCAAATGGGATTTTTAGGTGAAGTAGGCAGATATAAGGGGCTGGGTGTTATTGGTATATAGGAAATCCTTATTGTCTTGGGAGTAGATGAACTTGTTTAAGGACCAGATATCGTACTAGAAGAATCTAGGATCCAGGGTGGAACTTTGGGGACTGTCCAGCTTTGAAGACTGTCAGAGAGAGAGTAACCAGTACATAGCACACCTGGGGATAGGAAAGTGTTCTGGGCTTGTTTCTTCCCACTCACTTTTTTATAAAGAACTTAATGCAATTAATCGAGAGAAAGGTATTCAAAGTTAGGGTGTTAGGTCTTAGAAATGCATTTATCAGTACAAAAAATATTACTCTATAGAGTGATGAATATTTCCCCTCTAATCCAGGGGTCAGCATACTTTTTCTGGAAAGGGCTTGGTAGTAAATAGTTTTGGCCTTGTAGTCTCTGTTGAGACCCTGTGAATGTGGAGGAGTGTGAACACCAGAACCAGAATACCCTTGGGGACCTGGGGAAGCAGCTTCAGTGTCTGCCCAACTCTGCTGTTGTGTGAAAGCAGTTACACACAATACATAAGCATACCTGTGTGTCAGTGACTGGAAAAGCAGATGTAGGCTGTAGTTTAGAGATCCCTGCTGTAAACTGGTCACTTATTATCTGGTCTCATTGGAAGAGTTCTCTTGCTTTTGCCCTTTGGTCCTTTTCCTCTGTGGAAACTTGTAGGCAGACGCCCAGGCTGTGTAGCAAGATAGGCACTGCTGTGTGTTCACAGCAGTGAAGTGTGCTTTGAGGAATTGTGGTGCTCTGACTTGAGCAAGACAGGAAATGGTCATTGTGACCCATGATTTTTTTTTTTTTTTTTTGAGACAAAGTCTCACTATGTCATCCGTGGTAGAGTGCTGTAGTGTCACAGCTCACAGCAACCTTTTTGGGCTTAAGAGATTCTCTTGGCTCAGCTTCTGAAGTAGCTGGAACTATAGGAGCCCGCCACAATGCCTGACTATTTTTTGTTGCAGTTGTCCTTGTTGGTTAACTGGCCTGGGCCGGTTTGGAACCTGCTACCTTCATTGTATGTGACTGGCGCCGAGCCATTGTGACTCATGATTTATAAAATTATTAAAGCCCTGGTTCATCAGAGTCAGAATCAGTGGTGGGAGGGAATTGTTGGGTCCTGGGTTTGGCTGATGTTTTTAGGACCCTGTTCATAGTACCTCTTGCAGATAGATGCCACATCTTACCTCCAGGAACAGAAGTTGTTTCAGCAGCTTGGCTTTTATCTTGGGTGTAAGAGAAGCATTATAATTTAGAAAGAATCCGGTTTGGAAGGCAGAAGCCCTGTTGTAGTTCTGGGTTCTGCCACTAGGGGGTCTCAGTCTGCAGAGGAGCTGGACTAGTCTCAGTCTACATGGGGTAGGTTGGAGACATTAAGTTGAGTGAAAACTTACAATCAGAATTTTATTCCCAGGTCTTGTCTTAGGGTCTTATGTTTTGGATATAATATATAAATTCTTTAATTCATTCCTGCTTGTAAGGTGAGGATGAGATTGCTGACTCCTTCATTAAGGGGATCTGTAATAGAAAAGATAGCATTAAAACACTTTGCAAAATAAGGGAGAAGTCACAACTTTCTATTTGTAAAATAAGTAACAAAATAATGAAGGACGTTTCAAATTCTTCAAAATTTCCGGGCATAGGGGCTCACGCCTATAATCCTAGCACTTTGGGAGGCTGAGGCGGGTGGATTTTCTGAGCTCACAGGTTCGAGACCAACCTGAGCCAGAGCAAGACCTCATCTCTAAAAATAGCTGGGTGTTGTGGCGGGCACCTGTATTGTATAGTATAAATTATCTGAATTTATACAATGTGGGATTTGTAGTCCTGGCTACTTAGGAGGCTGAGGCAAGAGAATCCCTTGAGCCCAAGAGTTTGAGGTTGCTGTGAGCTATGATGCCATGGCACTCTACCAAGGGTGACAACAGTGAGACTCTGTCTAGAAAAAAAAATTTTTTTTTCAAAATTATTGGTGCAGATAACATGGAACATAGTTTTTAAATATTGACTGTTGCCTAATTTATTGTGAGGTCTTAGACTTCAAGAAGAATAGCAGCGAAACTGCTTTTATTTCATTTCACATAGCTTATTTGGTTGTCTTGTATTTATTTTCTCAACCAATTTTGTTCTCTAGGCAAGTTTATCACTGTTGGATGGGGTAAGAAGGAGACACAGTTCCACGGATCAGAAGGCAGGCAAGCAGCCTTTCAGGTGCAAATGGTAAGGTTGGTTTATTAGATAAAGAATCTTGATCAGAACAAGTGGAAGTTCTGTCACCAACTCTTAGGTGTCCAGTTAGAAGCAGTCATGAACAACTTTCTTCTGCTTAAATTAAAGCTGTTTAGTGCCCTGGGAAAATGAGTCACCCTAGAAAGATCCTTTTGTCTTTTTTATTGCCGTTGCTTTGGGATTTATTTTCAGTGCAGTGCATGATGATAACCAGTATTCGTCACCTAGCTTAAAAACTCAGCATCACAGACAGAAATGAAACCCCCTGTGTAGCCTTTCCCCATGTCCTTCTGAGAGCTGCCATCTGTGTTTACTGTGGATGATTTGCACATGTATGCACTTTCCAGTCTTCTGATGTACTCTTGGGGCACCTGGAGAAGCAGCTTCAGTGTCTGCTCTCACATGAAAGTTCTTTAAATCTTAATTTATATAGTATGAATAATTTTAAACACATAAAGTAAACAATATTACTCTTGTGTAAAATTAATGCCCCAGGAAGATGTGCCCTGTTTGTCTTCTAGCGTACTGCCAAGCATCTTTCTGGGCAGCAGATGTCTATCAGAGAAGTATAGATCACATTATCATCATGGCATTTGGTAGCTGTGAAAGCTCGATAAGCTTCCTGACATTTATGAGCCTTATATTCTTGTCTATAAAGGGGACATAATGTTTCCTTACAAGGGTTGAGATTTGTAGTTAATAATACAGAGGGTGCCAAAAAATGTATACACATTTCAAGAAGGGAAAAAATGTACTAAAATTGTAATACTGAAGTCATATTTGACTTACGCAGTTGTAAGAGGTGCCCAAATGTGACTTGTATTCATTTTTTGTTATCAATATATATTAAGTATTATAATTTTAATAGTTTTTTTTTCTTTCTTAAGATGTTAGCACTTTTTTTGGCACCCTCTATATAAAAGTGCTACCACAGCATCAGCACAGAGTAGGTACTCAAATGGTAATTGCTGCTCTTATGTTAGAATTTTAAAATTCTTTAAAATTTTTGAAATTTTAAAGAAAAAAATGTTTTTGTGTCAAAACAGCTGTTGTGATTTAAATATGCATGATGGGTCTAGTGCTAAAAACTATCTAGTAGGATTAGTAAAGGATTATTAGAGGGCAGAAAAATGGAATAAATATTCCCAGGCGATGACCTTACTTCTTTGGGGTGATCCTCTATTATTCATTTTTATGCCTAATTTTGAAGTCATTTTTTTTGCCACCCCTGAGTTTATGGGCATGGACCATATATTTTTCATTTAAAAAATAGTACTTTACTGATATGTGTAATATATGAACTTTATAGATATTATGCTAAGTGAAAGAAGCTAGTCAAAAAGGTCATGTATTTATATGAAATGCCCAGACTGGGCGAATCTGTAGTGACAGAAAATAGACTGGTGGCTGCCTAGGGCAAGAGGGGCAGGGTGGGGAGGGAGTGACAGCTAGGTTATGGGTTTTTTTTGAGTGTTGAGGAAAATGTTAAAAATTTAGATTATGATGATGGTTACACAGCTTTTTATGTATACTTAAAAAACGTTGAATTGTGTACTTCAAGTAGGTGAACTGTAGTAATGTGTAAATTATATCCCAATAAAAGGTTAAAAAAATAGTACTTTAGGGAATCTGTAGTAGTATTCAGAGGGCAGCAGTTTTTCATACTTGATTCAGTTCTGGAGAATACATGTTACCCCGATACCTGTTTAGAGTTGTCTTAGTATTGCCAAAATTAGGTTTTGTTCTTAAAATAAAATAATTTAGATAATGGGGGAAAAAACCTGTATTCTAGTAGCTAATGTACTATTTGGTAGGCTATTCTAGATTTTGTTCATGAACTTTTTCTAAAAGCTTTCTAGGACCTTGTCTTGATTTGGAAGCTCATAGCTACCTTTCAGAAAACCAAACAAAAATCCTTGCTGGTCAGACATAAGTACTCCAGTGAATGGTTTGGGTTTTAAGTTGTATTGGTCCAGCACTCAGCTCTTACTGCCTGGACTGTCCTGCTGCCCAGTAACACTGATCTAGGAGGTTGCATTCCATGTTCTTGACCTACTCTCTCAGATGATAATCATTCATTTATTCAAAAGCATTTCTTTTTTTTTTTTTTTTGAGACAGAGCCTCAAGCTGTCCCCTTGGGTAGAGTGCCGTGGCATTACAGCTCACAGCAACCTCCAACTCCTGGGCTCAAGCGAGTCTCCTGCCTCCGCCTCCCAAGTAGCTGGGACCACAGGCGCCCGCCACAACGCCCAGCTATTTTTTGGTTGCAGCCATCATTGTTGTTTGGCGGGTCCGGGCTGGGGATTTGAACCCGCCACCTTAGGTGTACGTGGCTGGCGCCTTAGCCGGTTGAGCTGTAGGCGCTGAGCCCAAAAGCATTTCTTGAGCACCTACGGTGTCAGGCTCTGTTTGAGGCGCTGGATATAGAGCAGGAAACAAAACCCCTACCCTCAGTGGAGTATACATTTGTTGGAGGAGATGGACATTAAAATAATGCTAATATGTAATGTACCTGGGAATGAAAAATGGTATGGAGGGAAATAAAGCAGGATAAGGAGTGCCAGATAACAGGTGGGATGGCACGGGGTTCCACTGGATTATGGACCTGAAGGATATAAGGGACTGAGCATTGTGAATATCCAGGGAGTTCTATTCTAGGCAGTTCAAACAGCCAGTGCCAAAAACCTTAAAGTATCATTCTGGTGAGTGTTCAAAAACAACAGAAAGGTGACCAGTATAGCAGTATGTCTTTGGGGAAGGAGGTAATGGTAGGATAAGAGGTCAGAGAAGTGATGAGGGTGGTTATGCTTTTGTAGCCCCATGTTACTACTTTCACTTTTACTCTAGTGGACAATGGAGCCAATGGTGAGTTTGAGCAGAGTGACAGGGTCTAATTTATGTTTTCAGTGGACTGCTCTGGCTGTTGTGTTAAGTGAACCGAGAGAAACCTGAGTCGTCATGGGAACCTTTTTCACTAATTCATGTGTGTTCTGGAGAGAGTGGAGAGGTGGTACAGAGTGGTATGACTTAGCATTTTGAAGATAGAGCTACCAGATTTAAAATAGGTCAGATATGGGTGTGAGAGAGAAGATTTGAGGATGATACCAAGGGTTGGGCCTGAACAAACAGATGCATAATTATTTGTAGAAATTTCTGTGAGCTACCCTTCTACGATAGATAATTTAGTAATACCCTGCTTGCCACCTGCATTTTCTGTTTTATTTCCAAGTACATTCCGTGTAACTCATATTTCAGCCCTTAACCCTTGAAGTTTGTGTTCCATGCCATAGGACATTTTCATTAAGAGTTAGGTTACTTAGGTATTCTCCACTGTGAAGACTTACGGTACGGTACTAGCAGCATTCTGACCTGGGCTCTTACTGGAATGTGATGATAAATGCTGAGGTGGTCATCTGTCTCCCATCCCAGAGCATTGTCTTCAGGGTGTTTAGGGTTGAAGTGCACATGGCGCTGGAGACTTCTCTTCCTCTTGCTCTGTGGAACACAGAGTACTGTGTGTTTTCGTCATTGCTGCTGCCTTTCCCACCTCTCAGGCTCTTCCCCTACTCCCCTTCCTCTCATCTTCTTAACTCTTCTGTGTCCTGTTGTGAAGCTTACATAATAATTACATAAACAAAACTCTTTTATATTCAGACAAACAGAACATTCATTCTCTATCACTGATAGCTGAAAAGTTTATTAGCACGTTATATTTAATATCTAGGTTTGTAGCTCTTCTGTTGCTGGTCTCAGAGGCTACTTTTTCTTAATGTCGTAAGAGGAACTTTTTTTTTTTTTTGATGATTTCTGGGCCTAAGAGCCCTTGTAGGAGAGTTTCTGAGGGTTCTATGAAGCTGGTTTTTAAAATAGCTTAAACCTCATATAAAAGATTTATATTTAGTGGCTGAAGGCTTTTTGATTCTGAGCTACTTAAGGTACTGCCCTAATACTGTGTAATGTATAATATATCTTTTTCCTCTCTGTAGCACGAGTCTGCTTTGCCTTGGGATGACCATAGACCACAAGTTACCTGGCGTGGGGATGGACAGTTTTTTGCTGTGAGTGTTGTTTGCCCAGAGACAGGTATGAAAATAAAATGGAGTCAATGAAAAAATTTTTTATCTTATTAAAGCTCAGGAAAGCTTTTTTCCTTTTTCTTTGAGTGGGGCATTAATTACACAGATGAGATGAAGAGTGCTGTTTTACATGGTAAATGAGTTTAGAGTTAAGTAGAAGAGTCCGCTGGGGCCATCTGGTCCATCTTCTCATCTGGTGGATACAGATTGTTAATACGATCAATCTAATTGCCTTCATAAAATCATGGCAGTTTGTATATATAAGGCAGGTGTTTGTAAAGTTCTGGCTTGACAGCATTTATCACAATGTGTTCAGTGTGTATTTGTTTCACTCTACCTACTGCACAGGGGCACGGAAGGTCAGAGTGTGGAACCGAGAGTTTGCTTTGCAGTCAACCAGTGAGCCTGTGGCAGGCTTGGGACCAGCTCTGGCGTGGAAGTGAGTGGGAAAAGAAACCTGGGTGTTTCTTCCTCAGAGAAATTCTTGGAACCAGGGTAGAGGTGGTGGTACCCATTGAATACAGATGTTTGTATAACACAAATGCATATTGGTTTTTTTTCATTTGGTTGTAAGGCAGTATCTGGGGTTTTCTTGGGGGGAGGAGGCAGGGGGAGGTTCCCTTCTCTGAATTCAACTTGAATTAGATTCTGAGCTTCTTCATAGATCTCATCATTCTAAGGCCCCATACATTTTACATTCTTAATACTTTTTTTTTTCTTTGAGACAGTCTCCTTTTGTCACCCACAGTAGACTGCTGTGGCATCCATAACTCACAGCAACCTCAGACTTTTGGGTTCAAGTGACCCTCTGGCCTTAGCCTCCCAAGTAGCTAGAACTACAGGCAGCCACCACAACACCTGACTAGTTTTTAGAGATGGGTCTCACTTTTGTTCAAGCTGGTCTCAAACTC